AGCCATCTTGTGTATGCACGCACACCGACAGATTTACGTTAGCGCTCACAATAATAATGAAAATTCAAAGTAAGAAAGAAAAATAAGAAAAACATGACAAAATGAATCAGTATACAAACTTGGAAATAAATTATTTTGGTTTTTATTATTTTGTTGTTAACGGTGCGCATTTTGTGAGGATGTAAAACTTGCGTTTACGAGCACATATCAATGAGAGAAAAGTAATAAATATTGGCGAGGACGAAACAATTGCAAAAGTGTCTAAATTTAGGGATAAAATTTAGTTTTGCAGTTGGAACCAACTGAAATATTTTTAAAAAGTAATTTTAAGTTTGTTGCATCATATCTTATAAACAATTATAGATTTTTCATTTTTTCTTTCACCATCTTAAAGAACATTTAATTGAGAATATAAACTACCAATTTGATATAAATTGGATTATTGTATCAAGAATTATCAGAGTTTTAACAAAAGTTGGAACTTTTTTGATGCCGGACACCATTGACTAAAATTCAATTTTAATTTTTTCAACTTTACACGGCAATAACTCCTAAAATATAAATGATAGCACTATCAATTTTTTAATATTTTGAAGAACGAGTATCTTAAATATTATATTAATTTTTGCACTTTTTTACCTTTAATTATTTAGAAGATACTGGCATTTTAACAAATTTTAGCAGTTTTTAAAACTTTAAATTTTATGACGTCATAACTCTTAAACAATAAAAGATATTCTTTAGATTCCTTCACCAAAGTATGAAACAATTAATCATGTATATTCGTGAATATTTTCAAATTTTTATCTCTTATCAATCAAGAGAAATCTTAATTTGAATAAAATAATTCCTTTTCTTAATACAAAAACTTTAAAAAATCTAAACAAAAACCTACTTCAAGTTCATCTCGCTATTTTCAAAGTTGTGCAATGTCTTTTTATTATTAGTTCGGTATACAAATGACTCAAAATGTTTGCTTGTCTGCGCGTTGTCACCTCGAACAGGTTCGCACTTGAGCGTCTATCCGGAGCGCTCGAACATTATTGAGCATTAAATATTGAAAGGCCGGTCGGGCGGACGGACGAAGTTGGTGCGCTTCAGATTTTATTCATAAAACAGTTACAATCCGAATGAATACGAATCTCAATGTGCTCTCAATGTCCCGCAGCAGTGTCAGAGTTAGCTCGCACACTGCCTACCGACATCTAAAACTACTCCGCAGTGGTCATAGGCGTGTGCTGTGTGAGTGCATCAACTTCGCATCTCTTATTCTATTTCTCGCTGGGCTGTGTGTGCGCTTCACGACTCTGTCGGGGCGAACGCATCAGAATATAGAATATGGAATAAGTGGCATACAGAATAAGTTACTTTAGACCTAACTGGAAGTTGTAGGCATACAACTATGACTCGTCTAAAGTTAACATGTTGATGAAACTTATTTTTGATTTTTTCCAAACTTAGAACAGCAATATCTTGTAAACTATAAAAGTTAGCAACATCAATTTTTAACAATTTTGTAGATAATTTATTTAGTATTTACTGTTAATTATTTTGTAATTTTATGTTTAAAAGTTAGGAAAATATCAGTATTTGAAGAAAAAAAACGCATGTTTCACTGTTTTTAACTTTGTGACGTCATAAGTTTATAACTATAAAATATTTTCTTTTCTTCTTTTACTGTCTTGTAAAACATGTACTTAAGAATATATGTACAAATTTTCTCATAGATTGGTCAAACGAGACAAAAGTTATTAGCGTTTGAATAAAATATAATTTTAACAGAAAATTAAACATAAATTCTTTGAATTTCTTTGAGTTTGAAAAAGAATATCTTTAAAATTATAAATGTTATTAACAATATTATTGCATCATTTTATAGATTATTTATTTCTGACCATATGTAGTTAATTTTGTTTTTCTAGCTTGTACCAATTAAAAGTTATCAAGCTTTAAAGATGTAAATCACATTTTTAACAGTTTTCAACTTTGTGACGTCATAACTAATAAACAATTAATTATATTACATTTATTAATTTTGCAGCTAATAGAGAATTTATTTCTAAATATATTCTAAAAATTTCATATTTTTAGCTAACCTGAATCAAAAGTTATCAATAAAATAATAACAAAAAACAATTAGTAATCCCCGTGTACCCGCCATTTTAACCGACTTAAGTCCTAGTCTACCGCTAAGCGCGGTTGGCCCGGTCGTCACCCAGCCGAAATTTGTGACTCCGCCCAATCACAACCGGGCCACACTACCGAACTTTTCCACGCTTAACTTAAGTCAACTTTTTCTAAAACAAATGTTGTTGCACGCCGATGTTACTAAGTAATAATTCGCACGGCGTGCACAGTTGAATAAATAAAAAAGTTATTAATAGGCCGTGACCGCAAAGGAAAATTTCGCGCCTTTGCCAAACTTTCGATAGATCCGCGTTTTTCCGCCGCGAAAATTTCGCCGAAATGCAAGTTTTATCTTTATGTGCGTAAATATTTAAAACGCCGACCAAACTTTACTTAAGTTTAAAATTAAACCGCATCAAAAGAAATACAACTCGACATGACTTAAGTTAAGCAAGACGAGCTATGTAGAAATACTTATTTACCACTCTTTTTGCAGTCCGTGGAAGAATATGGCACGAATATTATAGTCCTTTAAAATGCACTTAAGTCATAACAAAAGTTTAACTCACTAGGAATCACATTTACAATCAGCCTTTGAGATCAAGTGACTTAAGTCATTTCACACGCGGTCACACACCACACAGTTTAACCAATGAGTAATCAATAAGTAATGATCGAAAAAAAAACTTAAGTCAACTTAACTTAAGTCAAGTCTACTTAGTGTTTTATACTTCATGATGCGTCTGATTGCTTTGTTTTGAAGTTTTTAACTTTTCTCGAAAGTGACTTGACTTAAGTCGGTTATGTCGAGCTTTCGCGAGCTTTCCGCGTGTGGGAGCAGGCTCTAAGTACGCGCGCCTCTAACGCTCGCCAGCGACTTTGGTGCATTCGCTTCGGCTCGCCGGCGTCGTCGTCGCCTATGACGTCGACGACGTCTAAGAAGGGGAGCAGACCGCGCACCCGGCCCCGCAAACTTGACTTAAGTCAGTTTCGGTTCTATTCCGACATATTCCAACAACATGCGCGGGGGACAAAGAATATCTATACCCATACCTAACATAGTAGTATGACTTAACCACAAAAAAATACATGACTTAAGTCGCGTAATTACGTTTAATCAATGAGTGCGTTATTCTTCAAATAACTTCCTTATTGTTTTAATTGCTATCAATTTTCTTCCGGCGGCGATAATAATCGACGAGATATTTTTAAGCTGTTTTACTTAAATTAAGTAACATGACTTAAGTCACTTGACTTAACTTAAGTCAATATTAAATATAGACGAAAAAATCGAAGAAAAATATTTTATTTGCGATAAAATTATTATTTGTTGATAAAATTTATTTATAAACGTCAATTAAATTGTTTATACTGAAATTTTATCTTTCGAGTAGGCACACACGTAGAAAATTCCACGCATGCCAGTTTTACTCGTAATTAATTAGAGTGAGTAAGTATAGTTTTGTAATCGGGTGCATTAAGTCGATAAAATGGAACCTACTTAACTTAAGTCACAAAACAATATTTTATGCAATCGTGATTTTTTCATCGCTCACATCCGTTTTGATATCAGACTTAATTTAAGTCACAAAAAAATTCAAAATGGCGGATCAAAAGTGACTTAAGTCATGAAAAAATTTTTTCGAAAATGATTGTAACAACATTCTTGACGATTTCACATGTCAAAAGTGTCAACACGATGAATTATTCTCATTGTCATTTAATTTTTTTCCCATTTCGCATTCATCTTCGAGAACCAGGAAAGAAACGCAACAACAAATAGTTTCTGAGTGTTGTTGAAGACGTCGTAGAGTGCCTCAGCAGTGCGTTGTTGTTTGGATTTTATGTCGGAGGAGGATTGCCGTCTGCGCGGCCATTCCGGCCACCTCCTCAACTTCTTCGCGCGCGACTTCTTTTCGACTTCTTCGTCTCTTCTTTAACTTTTCGCTAACGTCTTCGGCGTGCGCGAGCGCAACAACAACAAACGCGTTTCTTTCGGACGCTGGTACTTGATTATTATACAGGGTGTTGCTATGCGTTTGATAGTTGTTGGTTTTTTTGGGATTTTGTGATGTATGCAGGGTTTTACGCGATGTTTGTGTGAACATCTGGTGGAAAGGTGTTTCATTCGACCTAGGCGAGTTCATCTGACTTAGATTAATAGCAACCTCGTCCATTATAAATGCATTTCGCCTTTCTTGGCCTCTTCGCCATGTTTTTCTATTTTATTCTATGCAATCGGCAATTGCTTGTTGTTTCCAGTTTACAGCTTCTATTTATTTTTTTAGGGTTTGGAAGATCTAACTTTAACGCCCTCCTGAAGGAGTATTAATGGTGCTAGGCTCAGTGTAAAAGCCTTAATAGATTCTTTGACTAATACTCTATCAAATTGTGTTGTTTAATTTTAAATTTTGTAATTATTTTTAAAGTTATTGCATTTTGCAACAACAAAAGAAATTTTTAGAGTTTTTTTTGACTCCCAACTTTGAAGCTTCGCCAAATTTTCATTATTTGTCCGATTTGGACACTTAATACATTAAATGATTCCTAAACTAATATTCTATGAAATAAATAAATTTGTGATTAATCCAATAATTATTTTCTCAGTTATGGCATTTGGCAACTCAAAAAGCAGTTTTTTCCGTTTTTTCAAACTTTCCAACTTTGAACCCTTCTAAAGGGCACAAAAATTATCCGATTTTTAAACCAATAACATTAATACATTCTCCAACTAATTTTCTATCAAATAAAACTTTCCCCACTAAACTCCGATAATTATCAACAAAGTTATTTGATTTGCCAAAAAAATGTTTTTTTGCAAAAAATCTCAATATCGCTCAATATAAGGAAAATAATATTTAAAGATGACTTACATTATTTTGATCCGGATAAAAGATTTTCCTCACGTTCGATATTGGTCCGGGCGATGATGATCCTGATCCTGATTGTGGAAGGACTCCACGCGGCGCCGATGAATGGAAAGTTCGCTTGCGGCCAATGCATCGATGTCAACGCAGATTGTGAACGCGTTGTATTGATGTTCGGAATCTTTTCAAATTTGATGATCTTTTTAAGTTGCTTTGGTTGTTCTTGTTCTTCTTGTTGTATTGTTGTAGTTGGAATTTTCGAATATTAGAAATTCGCAAAATTCGTTTGGTTATTGTTGTAGTTGATATTGATGTTGAAATTGTTGTGGAATTGTTGATTTGTCTGAGTTGTGGTTATATTGTTGTTCAAAACTGTAAAAAGATGAAATTTATTAGTTTTTTTCAAATATTTCAAAATTGCAAAAAACAAATTACAAAAAATATTTATGTTTGTTAATGGATGTTAATAGTTTGGCTTATTCTAAGAAGATTATTTTAATAAATTTTTTGGATATCTAAAATAGTTTTTGATTTATTTTATTTTTAAAAAATTTCAAAAAATTTTTGCAAAAAAAAATTAAATTAACAAATAATTAAACATGTAAATTAATATAATTTGGCTCATTCCAAATAAAATATTTAAATAAAATTTTTCAATATCTTCAATAGTTTAGCAAATATCTTCATTTAAAATATTTCAAAATTCCCAAAAATATTTTTTCGGAAAAAATCATTTTTTTCTTAACTTTCTAAATTCTTTAGATCAATCTCAACAACTTATTTAAATAAATTTTTCTAAAACCTCCAATAGTTTTTCAAATAAATTGCCCTAAACTTTTTTTTCCAAAAATTGTTGCAAAACATGACTTAAGTCAAGTGTGGGAATTCTGCCTCGCCAAACCGCACATGCTACACGTCCGCGACCGTTACTGTTATCGATTTAAACTAGTTACCAGTCACTCCGGGTCGCTTAAGTCGCTTTGCGTACTTACTCACTGGCTATTCATTTAATGCATGTAATTTTACGATTGCTTCATTTTGCCGCCATCAAACAAAAATGAGAGCAGCGTAAAGAGTTTGCTTAATCATTAGTTATCATTAGAAAAACATGTTGACGCTAGACCACGTAGAAAAGATGGCCGTGCGGAATTTCAAGACTTAAGTCAACTTAAGTCGAACAACACGCATGAATATGAAACGCCTGTGAAGAGAGGTCGCCTCGAAACGAGTTATCATTAACTGTATTTTATATATTTTGTTGTTTTATTCCCAAGTCTAGTTTTATAATGACTTAAGTCGTAAGACCCGCGAGTATTGATATAAAAGTGTTTGTTCGGTGCGCATGCGCGTATTTAACTTATGTGCTTCTCAAGAAATGAGAAAGTTTAATAACCTATTGAGTAATTTTCATTATATTTCATTATTTAATGTGCGCGCGCGCGACTCGCGTCTGTTTCGCTCGTTTCGGCGCGTTCCGCGACTTTATTCGCTCTGTGTGCGCGCGCACAGTGACTTAAGTCCTCTTTTATTTTCTATTAATTGTTCGCGCACAGGCGCACTGCCATTTTCTTTTCATTTCTTTTCGGCGCGCGCGCGCGGACTTTAGACGGACTCAAGTCTGCGACGCATGCGCAAGAAGTGAGCAAATATATAATTGAGTATAAAATTTAAATGAATTGCGGCAACGCAGAGTAAGGAAGACGTCGTAAAAATTTTGCACGGGTTTTGTCATAATTAATAATTAGCGAAGCGAGTGTTTTTGTTATGCGCGAGGGTTATTAGCGCATATTTGCCGCCGAGGTGCTAATTAAAAGCAGAAAATTATTGCAATCACCTGGGGGGATGGCCCAAGACTAAAAACCGATGGATTTTTGTCGTTTTAAGTAATATTGTGGCTAGAAACGCCTTAAAACTGATTTGAAATTGACTTAAGTCAATAAAAAATTGTTTAGGAATTAATATTAGCCAAACGGTTAAAAATACTTAAATTTTTTATTTAAATAATTGTCTTAAAATTAGATAAATTTAAAGAAAATATTTTAAAATTAAATTTTTTTCAAAATTTTTTTTTTCAAAATTTTGCAAAAAAAGTTTGAACTCAATTATCTCCAAAACCATAGCAAATATAAATAATTTTTATTAAAATAAATTACTTTAAATTAACCAAATTATAATTACCAACCATAAAATTATTAATTTTCCCTACTTAAGTAACTGACTTAACTAAAGTAACATTCAAAAACACAAAATAAACCCATTTCAATAAATTTTCATCAAATGAAATAAGATTTAAATAACTTTCCGGAACTTAACTCAAGCTATCTGACTTAAGTGACTTAAGTGACGAAATAAAGTCATAATTTAAGCCACTAAGCGATTACCAATCGATACGCAGATGAAAATGGACCCCGAGAGATGAGTGTGGCTACCTGGTGCTTGACCGGTGGCGATTTTCGCACGTGGAATGTAAATAGAGACACGATCGGCACGCCGCGATAAGTGCGATGTGCGAGTAATGCGCGGAAACATTGCGCACCTTTTAGCGTCGCGCCGTTTGAGCGCACCCGCGAAAGTATTGAGCACGCGCTCGGGCGCGTATTACACGTCGAATTACCGATCATCTTCAATCGATAGCATTAGATTAAACGTGAATAGTATTACAGGTTCTAATATTATTGATTGCCAAGGTGAGGAAATAAGTTGAAATGAAGAATATCTACTTTGAGTTTAAAGAAATTATAAATTTTAATAAGTGGAAAATGTTTTCTTGGAAATTGTTAATGTCTAATGTATTTTAGTTTATTTAATATAGATCATTTTAATACACTGTTTTGATATTAACTGATTTGAGATAGAATTTGAGTTCCAAAAAAATTTTGCCAAAATTTGCCTAAAATATTTTTTTAACATTTTTGAATATTTTTGAATAGAATTATAAAATATGGGTTATTACAAAATATTTATTTTAATGAAATTTTTGAAAATCTACATTCGTTTAGTTATTATCCGGGTTCAATTTTTTTTTTGAAAATTTTCTAAAAATTTCCAAAGTAAAAATTGGATTTTTGTATTTTTGAAACTGAAATATTATATTTCGGCTCATTTAATACAGAATATTTAAATAAAAAATTTGTAGCTGTCATAGTTTAGCCATTATTTTTGTTTGAAAATTAAAAAAAAATTTTTTTTTTAAAATATTTAATTAAAATTGATTTGGATCCATATATTTTCGATCATTTAACAATGTTTATTTTAGTAAATATTTTTAAAATTATTTATAATTTGGCAGTTATTCATGTTTGAAATAAATTTTCATATTTTCAAAATTTCCAAAAAATAAATTTTTAAAATTAAAATATTTAAATACTGATTATTATAGTTTGACTCATTTAAAACAGATTATTTAAATAAATTTTCTTAATATCTATTATACTTTAGTCAATATTTAAACCTAAAGATGAAAAAAATGACTTAAGTCAATTTCAACTCAATAAAACCAACTTCAAATCAAAATTCTTTAAAATTACACTATTCTATAACATATATTACAATCACTTTTTCCTATTAAAACTAAAATGGCTCCCATGTTTTGTTCCTGTTTTAGAGAGTTATTTATCTAATTGATTTTGGATTTTTTGTTTCCGAAACGACTTGAGCGCAGTATGCGCGCGTGTGTGGTACGAGCATGTGGCGCAGCTTGCGGGCGCAACGAACGCGCACCAAAACGAACCAGAAAAACGCAAAAACGCGTACGGACCGAACGAACGAACGACCCGAAGAACTAACTGCCACGCCACGCCAACCACGCAACACATACGCCGGAACGCACCGAGTGAGGTGAGGTGGGCAACAAAACGAAGACATACTCGTTTGCTAAATATTTCTAAGGAAGCAAACAAGATCTATTCAATCACAAAAGAAAAAATAGAAAAAAATTATATTTTGGGATTTTTTTTGAAATTTGCAAAAAATAAAAATAGAAAAAATAAATTTTGACAAATTGTATAAAGATTGAGTAAATTATAATAATTTGGTTCATAATAAAAAGATTATTTAAGTAAAATTATTTGATATCTATAACCGATTTGCCATAAATCAAGTTCAAAAATTTCAAAATTGCCAAAAAATATTTTCTAAAAATTAAATAATATTATAGTGAATTATTATAAATTAGTTCATATAAAAAATTATATTTTAGTACATTTTTTGATATCTCTTATGGTTTAGCCAATATTCGTTTTCCAAAAAAAATTTCAAAATTGCAAAAAAATAATTTTGTTGTATTTTAAAAAAGTTAACAAATTAGTATAATATGGCTCATATAAACAATATTATTTTAGTAAAATTTTTTGATATCCTTTATAGTTTAGCCAATATTCAATTTCCCAAAAAATTTAAAATTTAAAAAAAAAAATTTTTTTCAAAAAATAAAAAAATAAATTAATACACCAATAATTCAAGTCATTTAAAAAAGATTATTTTAGTAAAAAAATTAACATCTCTAATACTTTTCCTAATAATTCAAAACAAATAATAAAAATTTACAAAAAACAAAAATTTTTCCAAAAAACAAAAAAAATCACAAAAAAACTCCACATTGATTGATTTGAAGATGATTGAATCTCCGTAACATACACTCTCATATCCACCGTACATTATCCACCATACAGTTGAGTATATTATGAAGCGATTTGTTCTGCGATGTCCATAACCTAGGTCAACGCGAAAAAGATTCCGCCTCGGATTTTCGTCCATCAAGCGTGAACTCTCCTCTCGTGAGCGCGCGCGCGCGACGCCCGAGTTATTTCTGTTATTAGTAGGCAGTAAAAGAAGGCGCAATGCAAGATGCAAGATGCAACATCCACACACACACACACACACACACACACACACACATACACATATGACTTAAGTCACTGCGTATAAGTCTGATTCTGATTCTCACTCTTTCGCCTGCTTATGTATGCGAGTATAAGTGTGTTGCTTTAAGCTAAGATGCTGTACGGCGAGTAAAGAAAAACGACGTCAAAAAATCGGCGAGGCGCACATGCAAATAAAGACTGCGGGCGCGCAGGAAAGAAACGCCCGGGTCATTGAACGCCCAGGCACATATAATATATATCTATGTATGTGTGGTGTGTGTGTGTGTAATTCGCGATCGTCTTTTGCCATGCCATACTCCGAGAGCAATTCTTGCGTGTTCAGGCCGCACACCGGGCACGCACTACCACATACACAAGATACGAGTATCTCTTGTTGGTGGTAGTGAGCGCTACAGCATCTTACGTTAAGTTAAACTCACGTTGGTTTGTTAGACAGTCCAGGAGATTAAAAATAAAAATTTAATTTTTTTTTGTTTTGAAAAATTTGTTTTGTGTTGATGATAATATTAGTGAGGTTTGTGCTAGTGTGTGTGATTGGAACAAAAGTTGAATATGTTAAGTAAGCATGGTGAAATCTAGAAAATTGAAAATTACCCGCGAAAAAGTGTTTTTGTGCACGGCGCGCGCTCGTAAAATTTTATTGCGCTCGTTTTTTCGTTTGCCAATTAAAGCTATGCGTGTGCATATTGCGCCGGTGCCTCGAGAAGAAATTACCTATAGAAATTGTTTGCGAATTGCCTCGGCGCGCAACAATTAAAAATTGCGCTAAAAACACCGCGCAGATTTTAGCTATTTGCTTAATTTACCCTGAACGTGTTTATTTTGAGTCGAGTTGAGCGGAGTTTTTTGCGCGTAAATTTTATTATGGGAACTTTTTTTAAGAGAGGTTTTAAGCGGTTTTAACGGCGAATGGTGGAGATATGCGAGAGTCGGAACTTGTTCAAACAAATGAGTGAGGTATTAGTGGTTATTTGTAATGTTTAAATTAGATGGGTTTTTTTATTACCGGAGGTAATTTTTAGGGTTTTATAAAGAGTTTTCAGATAGATAGATAAGTTGTAATAGAAAATTTTTTGTTGTTGGAATTTAACCGCAAATATTGCCTTGTTTTGATGATATTTTTAATAAAACAAGTAATAGGTTAGAATCTGTAGCTTCTTAGCTTTAAAATGATGTATGACTTTATATGAAAACTAGTTTCTTAAAGGACATAATCTGGTTTTTAAAAAATATTTCTTAAATTACTTGTTTTGCAAAAGTTGCATTGCGTCAATATTTATTATTGACTTTAAAAGCAAATACCTCTGGATAGAAAGGCGATATTTGATTCAAATAAAAACAATTTTAATCAATATTTATTTGGCTCCTAGAAATTAATTAAATTAAAGTTATAGTAATGATATTAGACCTTTTATCAGTATTTTTATATTTTTTAGACATTTTGTCATTTTTCCTTCTTCAAAATTTCCAAACCCAAAAAAGTGATGATTTTCACATTTTTCGAATTAACTAGGTATATATTTAGAATATTGAGTTTTCTAGCTTTAAAATGATGTATTACTTAATATAAAAATTAGTTTTTTAAAAGCATTAATCCGGTTTTTAAAAAATATTAAAATTAACTTTTTTTCTATAATTGAATTTTATCAAAATTTGTTAATGACTTTGAAAGCAAATATCTCTGGATAGAAAAGTGATAATTGATTCAAATAAAAACAATTATAATTAGTATTTATTTGAGTCTTAGAAACATTGTATATTATGTTGATTGCAATAATATTATGCCTTTTACCAACACTTTTCTACTTTATTGACAATTTTGTAATGTTTCTTTTTTCCAAATTTCAAACTCCAAAGAAACAATGATTTTCAAAGTTTTTGAATCACCAAGTAAATATTTAGAATCTTTAGCTCTTTAGCTTTAAAATGGTGTATAACTTTCTACGAATTTTCAATTGCTAATGCCATAAATTCATATTTTAATTCAAAAAAGCAATAAAAAAAGTTTTGAAAAAAAAAACTTGAAAAATTCTCCTCAAAAACAAACAAATTCCCAACTTTCCTTTGTTCCCAACAACAAATTCCCATACCACAAGCCATAGCAAGCAAAAGCACCGATACATGGAGGCGGGGGTGGTTTTATATGTGGCTCCCCGGACATCAAATCCACCATCAATTTCTGCATTTCAGTGCGTTGTGCGCTGTGCGTCGCATTTTTCGCCGCGCCGCGATAATATATGCGTGCAGTGCACGCACGGCACTCGTGCGTCAGGGGTGGTGCGTGCCCGGTGTGTCAATAAGTGTCCATCCCCTTACCTCCGCCGCCGCCGCCTCCCGATGGACACAGTCCGGATCAATTTCGATTTGTTTCGCGCCCGCGTGCGCGTCGCAAATAGTTTATATAAAACGCGCGCGTTCGATTGGTCGCGCTCGCAAATGGCGGCCGAAGAGGGGCGGTCGGGCCGGGGGTGGCTGCGGCGGCCATTTTGATTTCGCTCATACCCCGTGCGCGTAGAAAATGGTGGTCGAAACCTACAACTGCATATAGATGTGTGCCGCGTTGCATGTATGTGTTATGGGGGGCGGCAATGCAAGCGGGTTGCAAATGATGGTATGGGTCAAATGGGAAATTTTCATCGAACGGGTTAGCTCGATGGGTGTGAGGCACAAAAAGACCCACTACACACATACATACATATACTATTGAAACCGCCACCCCCGTAACTCAACCACCCCCTTGATGGTGTATGCATCGAGGGTATGTACGGCCCATACCATCACTTCACAGGGTGGTGAACGTGAACGCACTCCCACCCACCCCCCGCCTATACTATAGTGATCAATGTCGTGTGCGCGCATATAGTGCATAGGCCTACCACCGCCGCCCCCGGATGCACAACTCTCTGCCACCCTCTCGCTCTCGTTTCGCATGTCGTGTCGCGTTTCCACACTGCGCGCCCCCCGCAGAATGCATGCATGCGCGTTTGTTGCATTGTGCCGGGCACCAACTGGAGGCGGCGGCGGGGAACACGGGGAGCAGCCACCCCCCGAAAACACTCATGGTGTGGGCATATATTTAGTGCACAGCACAGCCCGTAGGCCTATATACGGCAAACCGGCCTCCTGCAATTACCGCCGCCATGCATGGCCGCCGCCACAACCCGGCCACCTCCCCCCCTACCTCTTCCAAACGCGTTGAATGCAACGTTGCCACATTTTATACAGAAAAACGCATAAAACACATGAAAACACAAAAATCATAGGTTTAACATAGGCAACCCAATATACACGCACTCACCTGAAGCGTATTCAGTTGTATGTTGTTCGCAGTGAAAAAAGTCTCGTTTCAAACAAAAATCCCTCGTTTTCACTCACTTATCTCTATGTATCGTCTATAATAATAGTCAAATATGATGATTATATCGCACGATGCGATTGCCAGGTCAAATCTTGAAGTTGAGTTGAGTTGATAGCTGTGATTTGACTTAGTAATCCACGGCGTGCTTGTTGGGTTGTCTGCTTCGATGTTGTCTCAAGAGTCGAGTCACAATTGGTTAGCTTTGGTTATTATGTTTAGTTTTGTAAACAAAATGATACCGTTTTTTTCGTTTAGAAATTTAGAATTTGTACTTTCGGACACGTCAAACAAGAAAAAAAGTAAAGTCCACACAGTACACTCTGTATTGATTGATTGACATTTGATGGTATATAATCTGCGGTTTATTGTTTTTTTTTAGTTTTTCTGTTTCTGCTTTTTTTTTTAATTAAATAGGAAGAGAGAATATTTAAGGCCGACTTTAAGGCACTTCAGTCGAAAATTTCTTTTGTGTAGGGTGTTTTTTTTTGCGTTTTATTTTTGCTTATTTTTTTGGTTTTGCGTTTATAATACGAAATCGACGACAAGCGAGAGTGAAGTGTGTGTGTGTGTGTTTGGCTTTGTTTATAAATACTTTTCTTTTGTGGAGATAAACTTTTGATATAAAAATGTTTGTTTCTGGTTTTGTTTAAATTTATCACACACACGAAATTTTTTCTTTGTTTTTTTATTTATTCCCGGGAAATCACAGTTTTCTTTGTCGCAATGTTAATTCGCCTCTTAATTAATACTAATTATTAGCGTTAAAAATCATCTCTTTGTTTAAATCTGTTTTATTTATTTATAGCCCGTTTAGCCCTCCGCTTCAGTTGTTCACTTAAATAAATCTTATTTATTCCAACTGAAAAGTGTCGCGTGGTGTATGTACTTAACCTAAGTTTGTGTTTGTATACAGTGTGTTTAGGGGTTTGGGACGTTTGCTGGGGATTCGGGGGTGGATTTTGTTGCTTCTGCTTCTGTTTCTTTAGTTCCTATAGTTAAACAACAAAACGTAACACAAATATCGCGCAATGTAATAATCGCCTATGTAATCAGTATATATTATATATAATGTGTTTGTTTATTTCTCGTTTTTTTTTTCTGTTTGGTTTATCTGTGAATGTGTTATGTATATTTATATAGATTGATTTTGTTTTGTCTCTGGCTGCCCTATTCAGCGTGCGTAGGCGCTCCCAAACCAATCGAAACGCTTTTGTTATTATTTATTATTTATTAATATTTATTGTTTTTCTTGTTTGTTTTGCACTTAAATGTGAGTGAATTTGTTTATACACGCCCGATGCGTTTCGAATGGTTCAGCTGGAATATATTGAATCCTTGCACGTCTGATAATATTTACTATTGCAATTGTTGTTAATTGTTGTTAGTGTTCTGGTAAAATCGCCGAAAATATTTTGATGAGCCCGTTTTTTTTTTCAAATTTCCTGATTCTGGGGGTGAGGAGATGGAAACGAAACGAAAAAATGAAGAAAAACAAAAAAGAACCCGTTGAATGTTCTTGTTGTTGTCGGTTGTTGTTTGGTTGTTGTTGATAGTTGTTTGTAATTGTTAAATGTTGACAATTATAAAACACTAATAGCTTCCCTGCGTTATTATTATTATTATTGTTTGGTTTTTGCTTCAATTTAGTCCTCTGTACTTCACTAGGGGATGATTTCGTTTTTTACCTGGGGGGATTTTGGGGTTATGTGTGTGTTTCAATGTATGTGTGTATGCGTGTGTATATGTTAAAATTGTTTAATAATTTTTACGATATAGGAACAATTTTATTTCTTCACTTTTTCGATAAAAATGCGTTTTTTTTTGTTTTTGGGTTAAATTTACAATTTTATCACGATATTTTAATTTTGTACTTTTTGGTTGCCTCCTTACACGTTTCTAAATAGTTATTTTAGTTGCTCTTCGTCTTCGTTACGTTAATTTAATGGTTTAAAGGTCGTTTAAAGGTCGTTTCGTTTGTTTCGTTCGAAAAATTTAATCTGAAAACAAAATTGCATAAAAATCACACTTACGGCAACACCATGTATATCAAATCGTAAACATTTGTAGACATTACATTCCTAACCTACTAGTGAAAGAATTTTTAAAATATCTTTAATAGTTTAGTCATAATTAAAGTTTAAAGTTTCAAGGATCAAAATGGCCGCCGAAAGTGACAGAAAACCTCAAAACATGGCGGATGGACGCGGTGAAAGGCGAAAACACGACGCCATTTGCAATTCCAAAAAATTCCACATTGCGCATGCGTGTTTTTAGCCATTATACAAATGTTTACGATAAATTTTCATTAAAATCTTTTGTAATTTGTTACTTACTGGTTAAAATATGATCCTTGATCCTTAATTTTGTGATCCAGTGGTATATCGTTGAGTTCTCGGTGTGTGCGTGTGTAATGTGATCCGATGAACGTCCTTTAAAGCACAATTTTGTTTAAATCTTCGTCGAAATCGTCTTTTTTTATTCTTAAAAATTTTGTTTCTCGTCGTAAAAACACAATATTCACTTACAATATCAACGCGATTCGTTAAACGGTGCGAAATTTTTAAATATACTTTTAGTGAGTGTCCTTGAGTTGATCCTTAATCCCGTTTAATGGTCGTCGTCGTTGTTGTTGCTTGTGTGTTTTCGTTTTTTGTTTTATTTTAGTTTGAGTTTTTGTGGTAAATTTCTTCCGGTTTTTGGTTTGGTTTTTAAAATGTTATTGTTTATAATATTTCTTGTTGCTTTTTCGGTAGAAAAACTGTAGGTATAGACAGGTTTAAGGGAGTTTGTGTGTGTGTGTTGTGAGTGAGGGTTAATATTAACGCAGTTGGCTATCAACTGAAAATTTTCCGGGCGACGCGGCCGCGTGCCGGACCCGCGCCCCGTTGTACATAAGCCCCACGCGCGCCGTGGACGCGCGCCGCCGCCGACGCGCCGCAATACATAACGCTAAATAAGGATAACGTTATATTATACTCTGATAGGTGTGATAAGGATGGTGATATGTGCAGCAGGGATGTGATGCAGTTTCGTGGACAAGGCGCGGACTAGGACAACGTTGTGTGTCCTTGTCCGGCGGTGGAAAACGTGGAAAACACGCGCGGAATAACATTGCCGTTTGTTAAAGGACGAAATGTTTTGCGAGTGGAAAAGAGAATCGCAATTGCTGCGTGTGTCAGCATCGTGCGTTTGTTCAATTTTGTTTTCGCAACTGCGTCGAATCGAACGCGGGCTTTTTTTTATTATTTACCAATTTACCACCACCACCACTAGTATTAGCAACCCTCATGTGTTTTGCGATATATTTCACATAGTATAAATCACTTTTTTTCAGAGGAGAAGAGAAAATTTATTGCTGGTTTATTAATAATTTTTTTTATTTTTTCAGGAAATTGCAAATTATATTATTTTGTAATTTAGTAATAATTAATTGTTATATGTCTAATTAAAGATAATTTTATTGGCTATTGAAAACAAAATGTAAATAAAATAAATAGTTTTGAAGATATAAAAGAAAAAAGAAAAAAAATACCTTTTTTGCAAATAAATGGAAATTTCTTTAAATTAAAGTTTTTCTTATTATAAAAAATATTTTAAACATTAATTTTTACAGGACCAAATAGATAATTTAAAGTTCTATTAACTTGTTAAAAGAAAATTAAAGTAAAATTAATATTCCTAAAAATATTGAAGAAAAAGTATCAGAATTCATGATATTTTGTAAAGAAAATTTAAATTTTTTGAATTTTAACTTAAATTATTATTACTTTACAATAAACAAATGTCCACAAATTTAACATCAAATTAAAGACAATCTAATAGGCTTTATTTTAAACTAATAATATCACGACTATTTTGGTTATCTTTTAATTTATTAGAGTTTTAGTAAAAAGTTACTTTTTTTACAAAATTGACTTTTTTCAAATTTTGCCAAAAATTATATAATAATCTTAAATATTACAACAAAATTTATAGCACATTTTCAAGACAAATAAATTCTCTTTAAAACAAATAAAAATCACAATTGTATCTCTATAATTACAAAAGTTATTAACAAAAACGTCCAAAGAAAAACATCAAATTTTCATATTTTTGCCCAATTTCTAAGCTTTTAAATTCTTTTGAAAACTAAAACACTATAAATCATTCATAAAATCCATCTCAATATTATCTCCAACTAGTTTTTCTGGTTGACTGAAAAGTCGAACAAGTTTTATCGTGCTTTTCAACACTTCAAAACTACTCCCAACTTGAAAAACTGATAAAAACTATTGTAATCCATAAATTTCCGCTTGAAATAATTCTATTCATAAATTACACTTCTCTTTAACACTGTAGCAAATTATAATAATGTTTACACCAGATGTTAACAATAAAATAATTAATTTTGCAAAAAATGCTTCATTTTCACGCACAAGTAAAAACTATAACGAATCAGAATGAATGAGCTTGAATCGTGAATGAATGGTGTTCACCGAAGCAAGGAACAAAATGAACGCAAACACAAACGCAAAGAATAAGAGGAAAGAATAAAGGTGCGCGAGGTAATGACGGTAATGTCGGTAATGAATGGACGGATATTCCAAGCTCCAATGGGAAGTTGAGCGTGACTCGCTATACGCGCGTAGAAAACCGGAAAAGGAGGGAAAAGTTGCGCATTACTGCGCACCAATCCACACCAAAACTAATTTAAAACATTATTATTCAATAAACCAAAATATATTCAAACATTTTTGTGTTAAAAATTAAAATTTAAAAAATGGCGCATAAATAATTTTCAATTAATGCGAAATTGTTAAATTTCCGTCCGTCCGGGATTTAATTAAATTATTTATAGCAACTGCGTTGTGTTTATCTGTGTTTATATAATGCATTGCGTTTTGTTGCATTTATGCAACGTGATTCACGTGCTTCTTGGACACACTGTATGCATGTGTATGTGTGTATGTGTGTGTGGTGGACGCACGGGAAAACGTACCGAAACAAACAAAAATTAATCAATAATGCAGCAACGAATCGGGCAATAATAATAATAATTTAGTGTGCCAGATGCGAGATGTGTCGATGCGGGCGGCGGCCACCGCCACCACCGAAAGCTCCAACGCGTGAATTTGGTGCAAGGGTTGAACACATGAGGCACTGCTAGCGACACACAACGAGTATTCATTGGACTTTTGAGGAATAATTATAAACTTGAGCTTTTGAGCTTTTTAAAAACTCTTAAAGTTTGTTTTTGAAAAATTTTAATATTTTTTTGTATTTTTGAGAAATCAATGTTTTTTGGTAGTTTTTGAGGTGGAGCTTTTGTTGTTGATGTATTTTTGTGCAATAATTGAAATTATTGCATTTGTCGCCGAGGGAATTCGCAATTTTTGGAAATTTATGCATGAAATATTCGCGCATAACGTCCGGCATGGAAATTGTGGAATTTTCGCGAAAATTAATTACGTTGCGCACAAATACCGACAGGCACACGCTCGTGGAACGAGTCATGCATTTTCACGCACGATTTTATATCGAATGTATCGAATATTTTTTGTGAATTTTACGGTAAAAACTATGTATAGATAAAATTTGATTATAAAAATGTTCAAATTTGCATCGCGATAACTTGGAAAATTATTATGGCAAAAATTTTATTAAAACGTCAGTAGAAAGATAATTTATTTGAGATTATATTACGTTTATAAAAAGATAGGTATCGCTTTTTGTTTTGTTGTTATTGTAGTTTATATAAAAGTATGTAATTTTGAAGAAATTTTTGTTACATCAAGTTTAAAGTCGTATAAAACTAATAATTTTAAAGATAAATTTATTTTGTTGAAAGTATCTTAAAGTACTACTATTGGTTTATATAAGATATTATTTTTATTAAATTATACTAGGCGGTTTGAGAATTATTCTTAAAAATGTGTTGGAAAACATTTTGATCTAGTTTGCACATAATGATAAAATAAAAGCTTCAACTTTAAACATTAATAATTAAAAAACTAATAAGAATAATCTATTTTTCCAAAATGTTCATAAAAGTACAATTCATCAGAAGTTGTACTTGCAATTTTTAGGTAAATATACAGGGTGATTCAATTTTTATTCAACAAATTGTAAAACATTTAAAAAAAAACGTAAAATCATCAATAACTCCCTAAAAAATTAAGATAGAGACGTTATTTAAACATCAATCAATAGTTATTTACATTATCTACAATACGTTATCTTGAAAAACTCAAAAAACTCTATAATTTGCCAAAAAAAATTAAAAATATCAAAAATCACTATTATCTCTCAATTACAATATAGAATTAAAATTGCTACACAAACAATTTTGCGCAGATGAGAATGTACAAGTGACTATCAGAATTTATTTAAAATTGGACATTTGAACACATTTTCGCATTTTAGCATCAGCAGCGGCAGCAGCGTCGAAAACGATTGGATGTGTCCGAAATGGAAAAGCGGGCGGGCAGGAGACGCAGCGTGTGTGCACAATGCGTGACTGCATTTACGAATCGTATTGATTTTGATACACACACACTCATCCACCCACGACACACACATTTGTGCACATTCATATATTCAGAGCATGCGTGCAAACACAAAATGGCATTTGAAAAAGTTAAAAAGTAAAAAAATCAAAAAATAACGAAAAATCTGCAATAAATATGAAAATTTTCATCTAAACATTAAATAAAATTAATAAATTTATTGCCTAGGATGTGATTCATATACTTTTTTTGTGATTAAACAATTTTTAAACTTTTTTCGTTTTTTGTTTGAATTCATTGCGAGAGTTTTGACTTTGGACGATTTGCAGGATTACGTAAGGTCATGGACACTAGGCTGTGCTCCTGCGCGTTCGCAGGAATAACATCCAGATCCACATCAACACACACGCAGGGACACAGTGGCAGTGGTCTGGTTTGAATTGGACATTTGGTCTGAACTGGTGTGAAGTGGAGTGGAGTGGTCAGGATGTTGCAGGACGGCTGCAGGACGAAAGGAAGCCGAATGCTGATGCTGTTGATGCAGGGGCGAGTGTTGCCGATCCGTGCGGAGGACACACATGCACTAACCACATAACAAGAAATTTATGTTTTAACATTCGTAATGTCATTAGGATTAAGAAAAAATAAATAAAAAACAGAAATTTGGAAAAAATTTATAGAATATTTTTAATGTGATTTTCAAAGTTAATTTTGGTATATTTCTAAAAGACGTAGAAATATGCAATAAAATGATATGAATGGAAAATTTTATTGGCTATAATATTCAGGAAAGTTTGGTTTACTTGGTTAATTAGTTTAAAAGATACAGAGTATTTTATAAAACATTTCATATTTGATTTTTCTCAAATTGTGAGTTATAATTAAGCCAACTTCAAAGCTTTGTAACTTAAAAAAACTAACAAAGATATTCATTCTGTTCTTGAACTCATTTATAACGACATTAAATACCTATAAATTCACCAAATTATGTAGATCTTACTCTTCTAATTTTGTTGTTATTTCAATTTTAAGAAAAAAAGTAATATTTAATTTGCTAAAATTTGTTTTATGTTCAATGCTAATTTTCAATAAGAAAAACAATATTTCAAAATTTTTTTTATTAATAGATCCTAATACAAAATTTAATTGGCTATAATTTGCTCCAAGAATTATTAAAATGCAACTAATACTTTAAAAGTTACAGGATGTTTTGTAAATATTTACATTTTTTTATATAAAAAAATATTATAACTTTTGAGTTTATAGCTGGATATCTTCAAAACTATTAAAAATATCACTCTCAAACAAACTTTTTAATAATAACCAAATAATTTTTAACA